GTCGCTCGCCGCCAACAGCGCGCTGAAGCAGGCGAGCAGCGCGCTGGCGATCGCGCAGGAGGCCAAGTATCATCCGCCGTCACTCGCCCGAGGATCCACGGGCGAGGGGCGGGTGAGAATCCGACGGGGGCGGCGGCGGTGGCGGCGACGACGACGGAGACAGCGGGATGGCTAGGGAGGGCAATGTTGGCGGAGAGATCGGGTCAAGACGGAGCGCGGTGGCGACGGCGATGACGACGAGGACGAGGGCGACGGCGACGACGATCGCCGAGGAGAAGCGGCTGCGGCGGCGGCTGCCCCGGCCTTGCTGGACGCCGCGCCCGCGGCAGCGGCCGCCCCGCCGCCGCCCGCGCCCGGGCCGGAGCCGCCGGAGCAGCACATAAGGCAAGCCAATCCAGGCGAAAAACAAGCTAAGAATATGCTTTCCCAACAGGGCAAACAAAACAGGCGGGACGAGTAAAGCAAAAACGGAAGAATTAAAAATGCAGCAAAAAGCAATGGCTCAACACACGGGTAGAAGGCATAAAGATACAATAACGCAAAGCAAAAAACAAGGCAGTAACTAAAGCAGCCCCGCCTCAAGGGCAAGTCGGTCAAGGAGATCTTCAAGGACCGCGGGGCGGAAGGGGATTGGACCAGAGAGGCGCAGGCTCAGGTTTCGAAGGGGCCGATCCTCTCGGGGGGCGGCCCGCCCTGGGCGCCGAGACTACTGAGACTACAGTCGGCCCAGATTAGTAGGTCGACCTTGCCAAATCAAGGGCGCCCTTGCGTCGCAATTTGCGTCCTGTGTCTCGCGACCCGTGCCTCCTACGTATTCCTGTGGCAATGTGGCCCTCGGAGGGGTCTTGCGTCCTCTCGCGTGCCCTCTCGCGCGTCGAGTCCTGTCCAATCGAGGCCGACTGCATGGGGCGCGGTCGCGGCCCGCGTGCCCCCCCCCCCCCACTGGACCTCGCTGCCCCACGTGGCCCGCCCTACCCCCGCCGCAGCTGGGAGGATCATCTGTTGGAGGCCCAGAAAGCCATCGGTGTCCACTGGAGCGTCGGCACGGAGGAGTTCTGGGATTTCTTCCAGCAGGAGTGGGGCAAGGTCACGCCCGAGCGTCTTGCCCAGGACAAAATCGAGTCCGACCATGATAAGGCAACGTGCAAGCGGAGGCGGCAGAACTTGAAGCTGGAGAAGGAGCGGCATCAGCGGCTGGCGGCAGAGGAG